CCCGCTTTTTTTTTTAATCATGGGTCTGTTACTCCTACTCATAGTTGATTTAAAGAAAATCTGTTATATAGTCACCTTTATCCCTAAACTATTTAAATACAACTGATAAATTAAAACTTTCAAAATAAAATTTTTCTAAACATTTACACAGTTAAATAATCTTGTTTCAACGTAACTGTCGAATGTAATTTCAAAATGCTTTAAACACTTTAAAATTTAACACAAAAGTTTTTACTGCACACATACCTTATTTTGTAAAAACAGTTGTTATTAGGCTGGGTGTGTGGCTCATGCCTGTAATCCCAGTACTCTGGGAGGCCAATGTGGCAGATCCCTTGAGGTCAAGAGTTCGAGACCAGCCTGGCCAGCATGGTAAAACCCCATCTCTACTAAAAATACAAAAATTAGCTGGGGTTGGTGGCAAGTGCTCGTAATCCCAACTGCTTGGGAGTCTGAGGCAGGAGGTCTGAACCCTGGAGGTGAAGGTTGCAGTGAGCCGAGATCTTGCCACCACTGCACTCCAGCGTGGGTGACAGAGAAAGACTCTGTGTCCAAAAAAAAAAAAAAAAAAAAAGGTGTTATTGACTTGACCAATTTCTTTGTTATCTCTACAATACGTATTTTAAATTTTTTCAGGATTGCACTTATTGGATGGTAGAGAGAAAGATGATCTACTTCCCACGTGCATTAAATGGCAGCCATGGGCCTTGACTGGTGGATTCTTGGTGGCAGCAGGCATTGGCTGGTTGGGGGTCCCTCAGACCATTTCAACTGTTAAGTTAACAGGACTTACAAGTTCTTGCAATCTTCACTCCCATGTGCATGAAGTCTCGGGTACGTGATGTTCTGCCACAGTTTACAATAACCTTCATTATGCATCATTAGCATTTCATTAAAATTAGCAGGGCCACATAGCAGTTTAATCTATCAGCTTCTCCCTTAGGACATCTGGCTAATACATTAACTTGAAACATAAATTATTGAGCCCCCCTTTTACCTGGTTATTTATGAGACCACTGGTCCTGACCTGCCCTTCCTGGTTTTGGCACAGTTCCTAGTCTTCTGGAAGTCTTTGACTTACTGTTAGTAAACTTATCTGACCCTCGAACTTATACAAATATACCATTTCATAAACAGACATACAGAACTTCAAGTAAGAAATAGGATCTCATATCTACCAAAAGTCCCTATTTACTAAAATATCCTATTTTTACCCTTTCTTTGAATTGTAACTAGTTTTGTAATTACAGTTATATGTGTATTTTTGTACATACAATGTTAACGTTTTATCAGTAAAGCCTCACGGCTTTTCATAGAGTTAACTTGCAGATCAACAAACATAGATCTATAGTTGTTGTGATATGAAAATTGTCACTGCCTGCTCCTTTCAGCATTAACCCAGAATTTTTGGAAGGAACCTGGTTTTCTGAGAATAGCAAGATGTTTCAGGCCATTCTGATGGTCCCTTACTTCCACACATGGAATCAGCTTCTTTGCAGGAGCCCTGGCCACTGCTAATGAAAACCACTACAGAGATTAATATTTGGGTACTGACAGTACACACAGGAGTGCACAGGCAGACGGGGAATGTGATGGCACTCTGGGGCCACCGAAAAGACAGGTGGAAAAGATGCTGTTTCTTAAGGTTGTAGTTATGTTCACAGTGAGATTGCTCATCTAGTTCTAGTATTACTATGTCCTTCTCTTTTATATGATTTTTAAGTGGAGTATTTTTACAGTGTGCCTATTTAGATTTTTAACTCTTAACCCAAACTGATTATTCTCACCTCTGATTTTATCATTGTTGGATGCCTTAAGGTCCATTAATATATGTGTGTGTGTGTGTATGTGTGTATGTGTGTGTATGTATACATACATACATACATACATATATTTTAATTTTAGAGACAGGGTCTCACTTTGTTGCTGCCCAGGTTGGAGTGCAGTGGCATGATCATAGGTTATTGCAGCCTTGAGCTCCTGGGCTCAAGCAATCCTTCAGCCTTGGCCTCCCAAAGTGTTAGGATTACAGGCATGAGCCATCACGCCCAGCTAAGATCCATTATTTTGAGATCGCCTCTATGTATCCTTTATCAGAACCTGCTTTCAAGAAAGCATCTTATGAAATTATGTCCCTAAACTATTGTTTTCATGTAAATGTCTATTTCTTATAAAGATATTGGATATAATTATAAAATCATTGACACAAATATATTCGGTTGTACAAATTAATAATATTTCTTATATAACGAAGCGCCATTTCATGTCGATAAATTTATCAATACAATTCATTCACATTCTAGTTTCAAGAGGCCGACCACCACCAGTGGGCAGCTGGGAAGCCACTCTCCTCTAGGAACCATCACTGAAGCAGGTTGCCATTAATTATATACTTCTGAGTGATTTACATCCAATTCCACAAATGTGTCTTCATTAATTGAAGGCATTTTGAAATACTACTGGCAAAGAGAAAGAATAAAGATGTTTGCTGATTGAAATTTGCAAATCACATACTAAGGCCGTGGAAGAGCCAGCTGTGGACTCATCTCCCCATTTGCAAACCTGGATTCCCCACAGAAAGGGGCCATCTCATTGTCATTTCCATCTGCCTATGGCCAGGACAGTTTCCAGTAATAATAGGTGCTCAGTAACTATTCTCTGAATGATGAATGGGTAGGAGGAAGAAAATGCCATGGGAATAGTAGAGAAAATCATAGCTTTCCAAATAATTAACCCAGAACCATCATCCACAGTCCACAGTTTCTTCTTTTAATTTGTCTTCTGTGTTCTGAGGTAATTGGGTTTTGAGACGAATTTTAAATTGCTTCATTTCCAAAATTTGTTTGGTCACAACACCTAGGAGCAATCCATCTGCTAATCAATAAATACCATTTAAATGCTGCTGCTAGAAAGGCAAACCGGCACAAAACCAATACTGTCAGCAGAGCAGGACAACTCTAATTGCCTGACAGAAATCGATTCACAGCAAAATAATGATTATTGTAAATATTTATAATTCTAAAAGGAAAAGCTCATCAATGCAGCTTTTTGAGCAGTTCATTTCCAAATTAAGATTCTGATGAGCCCCACATTGCCATCTCTCTTGTGGTGGAGGATGTGGTGGCTGTGCAGCAGCTTGCTGGCTGTCTTGGAACTGACTCTCTTGGAGGCTCTCCCGGAGGCCTGGGGGGTAGTTTGGGTACATTCCAGATGTGGTGGTGGGAGGAAGACTGGGCATGGAGAGACGAGGTCCACAGCTGGCTCTTCACTAGCTTGCTGTGTGATCTCAGGAAGCCATTTGGCCACTCTGAATGTTCCTTTTTCTCATCTGGAAAAGAACAATAATCCTATCTCCCAACTTAATCTTCCAGATTTCGAGGATGAAATGAAGGTAGGGGAGGGAGGAGGCTGTATCTGTGAGCATATATTTAACGGACTGGACAACTCTGGGGTCTTTTCATGGGTCCGTATTTCCCAAGAACAGAGTTAAGGAGCAGACAGGAAGGCTCCTGAGAAATCAGATGAGTCATCCTGAAGCTCTATGCCCAAAGGAGTTTTCCTCCTAAAAAATATGTGACCCCCAGAAAGAAAGTGTTCATTCAGTAAATATTACTATGCAATAGGCACTGGGAAGACTAAATGAAAAGGACCTATAAGGGCTGCTCAGGAAGCTCAGTCTAGTGAGGAGGGAGACTGTGCAAACAGAGAAACGGGGAACGGAGCTAGGCCAGTTCTACCACAGCTGTGGGAACACGAAATGTGAGCTTCAGGGCTGCCTAAGAATCTCATGTTGAGCAGCGACCAAAGAGGGTTATTCCAGGAAAAGAAGAACCGACAAAGACTAGTATTTCAGGGGAACCAGGAAACCAAATCAGTTTCCCAAACTTCAGCCTCTTGAGGTCTGCTTTTACATTTTTTGTGGTGGGGGAGGGGGGAATGTCTCTGCATGAGGTACACCATTTTAAGTTGACTTTTTTGAAAATGTAAACAATTTAAAAACTTTATGACTACTATAAGTGAAAAACGTCATAAACAGAAAATGACCTTAGAACATAGCCATATCAACTCACTACTCATGAAATAACTGTCAGGCCCAGTTGTTTCTGAGACTTAAGGGATGATCAAGATCCACAGAGGTAAGGGAGGGAAATAATATCAGATAGGAATGGATGCTAGGGTACGTAGAAAATATGAAGTGTCTTAGGAGCGTTACTTTAGATGGGTTTCAGGGGGGTGAGGGCTAGGGGCTGGAAGATGCCATTTGAGCCGGGGACTACAGTGTTGAAGCTTAACACCTTAACATCAAAACCAAAAACAAGGTTATTAAATTTCCACCAGACCCAGCTGCCTGCCCTAGGCTGCGCCAAAAGCAGGGAAATGAATGAACAAGTGTTGGAGGGGCGCACGCCCAGCGCAGACTTGTTGCGGGACAAAAAGAGAAGAAAGACGAGGAAGTCGCCTTGTCTCCTGTGATCTTAGGGCGCTCAGTGCTCTCTGTCCCCCTAGAACCCGGCCAGGTGGTCCCGGCACTTCGGGAAACGCTGCAGCTTTGAGCAGGATGCAGGCTGTGCGCAGCCCGTGGACAAACCAGTAAACTGAGACCAATAAAAGTTAATTCGCTGCCCCAAACTTGGGGTTGTGAGAGGCAGAGCTGGGACAAGGAGCGCACCCAGAACCCTCCTTGCACGCCCAGCCCAGCGGCCGCACAAGCCGCTGGTCTACGGTGGCGCTGGCAAAGCCTCGGCATCACCGCAGACTCCCGATCCCGAGATCCGTGCTCCGGCCGTCCCGAGGGCCCCTCCCTGGGCGTGGCTCTAAGCGCTGCGCCGTCGAATCCGCGCAGCGGGATAAAAAGCACGGCCTCCGGCTGCGAGCATGCGCGGTAGCCTGGCCCTGTGGGGCTGCGTTGGGCGCCGGCGGAATTGGGGGTGCGGGGGGGGGGGTCACCCGAGGCGGACGTCCGCTACGCAGGCGTCTGCGCCCCGTGGGGAGGAGGGCGAAGACTCCATCCGCCATGTTGGATGCCGCAGATTCGCCATAACCTCGCCGGCTCTTTTCTTAAAAAAATAAAAAGAAAGAGCGAAGCGTCAGTGGGGCGCCCCGGCTTCTCGGTCGGCACGGGACGGGGCCCAGAAGAGACCGAAGCTTTTTTTTCCTCCGCGGTGGGGGCGTTGCCATGGAGACGCGGGCGGCAGGTGAGCCGAGCTGGGGGTTGGGGTGAGGCTGGGAGGGTGGGGGTGGGGCGCAGCGCGCGGAAAGCCGTTTCGAGCGTCGAGTCGGGAAGCAGCGCGCCGGCCGCCGGCCGCGGAGGGATCCGGGTCTGGGGAGGAGAGCGAACGTAGCTGCGTTCTGCGGCTCACGTTCAGTCGCTGGGGTATCCCGCCGCAAAAAAAAAAAAAAAAAAAAAAAAAAAAAAAAAAAAGGCAAGGCAGGAGCGAGTGGGAGAGCAAGCGCTCAGCTGTTTTTGTCCGGGCGCGCGCCAGCGACGAAACGCAGTGGGCGCGAGGTTCGAATCCCGGCGGTGCCAGCTTTTTGAGTTGACCTTGGCGGGGCTTCCTTCTTCCCCGGTCTCTGATTCCTCCTTGGCGAAATGCGTACTTCCTGCAGGCTTCCCGGTCGTCGGCTGGACCTAATAGAGTGACAGATCTTCTACTTGACACCCGATGCAAGTCATTTAACCTTGAGCTTGGGGCCTTCACCTGTAATTACCACAAGCTTCCATATTTGGGCACTGACTTAACACGTTTTGCTGCTCAGCTCTCTTGAGAACTCTTTATTTGTAGGTCATTTATTAAGAGGAACAGAAGTTCAGAGAGGTCAACTTTATACAGTTTAAAAATGGCAGAACTGGGGCTTTAAAAATTAACTTTCTCCAACTTGGGCTAAAATCCAAACTCCTGCGGCTCGCCTGACTTATGCCTCCATCCTCTTAGAATAGGGCTTGGCTCATATAAGTGTGCAGTATGTGCTTAGTGAATGAAAGAACGAACGTGCTAAGTGATCACGCCAGCCCATCAATCAGTCTGGCTTTTTTTTTTTTTTTTTTTTTTTTTTTAATTTTCCTGGAGCCCAAGTGACCTTTTGGAGATGGAAATGTCATGTCACTGGGACTTAACCCTGCACAGCTGCCTGTCTCCATTTTTATCTTCTGAGCCTACGAATTCATCTTTTGAAACATCTGTAGTGTGTGTCCCCATGCAGAAGGAAATAGCGTGTCACTACCTCTAACCCCAGGGGCACCTTTTTTGACTTCTTCAGTTTAAATAACAGCTTTGCAAGGAGCCCTTTGCACACCCAGCAGGGGTGAAGAGCAGTGCCAATTGCGGTCCTGCCTCCACCTGCTGCTGTGTTAGATGTGGTATAATGTGTCCTGGAGTGACAGAGTGGGCCCAGAGCCGACTAGTGGGTCAGGAGAGCTGAACTATACCAAGCGTGCTGTTTTAAAATTTAAATGTCTTAAATTTTTTGAGATGGAGTCTCGCTGTATCACCTAGGCCGGAGTGCAGTGCTGCAGTTATGGCTCACTGCAACCTCTGCTTCCCGAGCTCAAGTCATCTTCCCGCCTCAGCCTCCCAAGTAGCTGTGACTACAGGTGCTCTGATTAGCTGTGGTGCCCAGCTAATTCAGGCACGCTATCTCATGTTAGCCTAAAATAAGCACCAGAGAGACCTACTCTCCACATACAAGTTGAGCGTCCCAAATCCAGGTATCTGAAATCTGAAATGCTCCAAAATCTGAAACTTTGAGCACTGACATGAGGCCACAGTGGAAAATCTTCTGTCTGACCTGTGAAGGTTCTTAGTAGAAATGCAGTTGCATAGCTGGGCCCAGTAGCTCACGCCTGTAATCCCAGCACTCTGGGAGTCTGAGGCAGGAGGATCGCTTGAGTCCAGGAGTTCAAGACCAGCTTTGGCAGTACAGTGAAACTCCCATCTCTATTTTTTTTCAAATGCAGCTGCACAACTGTAAAGACGATGCTGTTAACACTCAGAAATGCAGGCTGAACAGCGGACTGAAAGGCAGCTGTTGTCTGTTGCTTCGTTGTTTAGCAGCTGATGCAGGTGTTCTGTTGATGCTGCTGTGCTGCTTAGGTACCTTGGACACCTTGTTTTTCACTGTATCAATGGTGTGTCATATGTTTTACTGGGAAGGACTTATGTGTGAATAGGTGTAAGAAAGTGATTGTCTTATTGGTGGCATGTAAATTCAGAGTCAGGAACGATGGCGATGCCAGACAACCACAGATTGACCATATGCGTGGCTGAGATAGCTATACCTTTACTTTCTGATGGTTCATTGTACGCTAACTTTGTTTCATGATCAAAATTAAAAATATTGTAAACTTACCTTCAGACTGTGTGTTTAAGGTGTGCATCAAACATAAATGAATTTCCTGTTTAGACTTGGGTCCCATCCTCAGGTTATTTCACTGTGTATATGCAAATATTTCAAAATCAAAAAAAAAAAAATCAGAATTCTAAACACTTCTGGTCCCAAACATTTCAGATATGGGATACTGATACTGTAGTTTATTCGGCAATAATAGGGAATTACAATTTAGGTACATGTGTTATGCTGGATCACAGAAGCAAAGAAGTTGGAGCAAATGGCAACTTTTTTTTTTTTTTTTTGAGACGGAGTTTCGCTCTTGTTACCCAGACTGGAGTGCAATGGCGCGATCTCGGCTCACCGCAACCTCTGCCTCCTGGGTTCAGGCAATTCTCCTGCCTCAGCCTCCTGAGTAGCCGGGATTACAGGCACACGCCACCATGCCCAGCTAATTTTTTGTGTTTTTAGTAGAGACAGGGTTTCACCCTGTTGACCAGGTTGGTCTCGATCTCTTGACCTCGTGATCCACCCGCCTCGGCCTCCCAAAGTGCTAGGATTACAGGCTTGAGCCACCGCGCCCGGCCGGCAACTTTTTTTTAAAGACCAAAAAGGGAAGTTCACCTAAGCAGTTTTGAAACAAAAACCATTGGTGACAGAGGCTTATTGCAGGAGTTGGCATTAGTCCATTGGAGACAGGCACACCAGGTAAGTGTTCTGTGCAAGCAACAGGCTTATCTGGAATACTGTGGCTCCAAGGAATTCCTGGCATAGTTCCTATCATTGGCATATTTTCACGAGGGCCCTTTCTTCATGTCCTCTTGGCTCCATTTTGTTAGAGTTTGACATGAGTGACTCCATTTTGATAAACGTGAAATGATGTCTTCTCAATTGGTGCCTTTCTTCTCCCATGTTGTTGCTTGTAGAGGGAGAATGAGTTGCCCAGTTGCCCACTTCTCCAATTCTGGAATTTACCTAAGAGTTTTAAAAACCCCTGGACATATGTTGAAGTTTTCTTCAATTTCCAGCTGTACCAAATGAGAGAAGATCATATTTTACAACGTGTTACTGTCAACTCATGGTCAGCTAATTTCTGAAGAGTTTCCGTTTTGGTTAATTTAGGAAAGACAGTACAATGAATGATAATGAGGTGGAGTTGCATGTGGTCTACAGGGCACAGCTGTAGGTGGCAAATGAGCTGAGATGGCCATTGTGTGAGCTGGAGCTCTGTTACCACAGTGCTCCCTTCTCAGTGGGCTTCTCATTTGCCTCTGGTGAAAGGGTTCCTGTTTCTTTTCTCCCCATACCTTGCAATTTACATAACTTTTCAAAGATAGCTATGCTTAAGTAGAATTAAGGTCTTGCCTAGAGCAAGGGCAGTCAAGAATCGGATATATTAAAAAGTCCCCGTAATTGCATTTCCTTTTATAGATAGTTTCAAGCATGCAGCCTCTGAAAAACTCTGCACCAAGGTGGGCTGATTTAATTATGTAGAAGAGATTTAGCCTCGAGTTAAGTTTTCCCTCTCTTCTCAGCTGTTTACCCTGTTAAACTTTCACTGTCTTTGCAATTTCTCAAGGGCAGGCATCAACTTTAAGGGCTGGAACATTTAGGAGGGTGGAAAGAACACATGCTCTGGGCCCAGAGATCTGCTTCTCACCAGCTTCCTGACCTAAGGGAGGTCACAGAGCCCTTGCAACCCCAGTCCCTTCATTGGCAAAGTAGACACAGTCCTGTCACAGATGGCTACTGATGGCGTTCAGGAACTGGGATTTGTCTCTTGCTTCCTAGAACCAGTCTTCCCAGTGTGCATTGCCATCCACTCACTTCTTGAAAGCATTTGTGGATGGAAAGGCAGAGCCTCCCGGGTTCAGGTCATCCTCCCACGTCAGCCTCCAGAACAGCTGGGACTACAGGGGTGCACCACCACACCTGGCTAATTTTTGTATTTTTTGTAGAGGTGGGGTTTCACCAGGTTGACCAGGCTGGTCTTGAACTCAGCCCAAGCGAATCTGCCTGCCTCAGCCTCCCAAAGTGCCAGGATTACAGGCTTGAGTCACTGTGCCGGGCAGAGTAAATTTTTTTTTTTTTTTTGAATAAGTCATTTAAAAAAATTAATTTCTTGACACGAAGTTTTACTCTTGTTGCCGAGGCTGGAGTGCAATGGTGCGATCTTGGCTCACTGCGGCCTCCGCCTTCTGGGCTCTAGTGATTCTCCTGCCTCACCCTCCCAGGTAGCTGGGGTTACAGGCATGTGCCACCACGCCCAGTTCATTTTGTATTTTTAGCAGAGATGGGGTTTCACCATGTTGGTCAGACTGGTTTTGAATTCCTGACCTCAGGAGTTTTGCCCACCTTGGCCTCCCAAAGTGCTGGGATTACAGATGTGAGCCACTGTGCCCGGCCGAGTAATTTTTTTAAAAGAGAAAAAAGAAAGCAGAGCAAAGCAAAATAGACATTTTAGACATCTATTACAGATTTGAAGTTGCTTCCTTTTGTTTCAAGGAATACAAAATACATAGATAATTGAGTTTGCTTGTAAAGATAATACTTGGCATATTAGTAGAAAAACAGGGATTTAAAATTGGGTGACATAATTTTCTTTTTTAAAATTAAAAAAACTGCAACTTGACAAATTATAGTTTTTTCTTTATGGGGCGTAATGCGATGCTATGATTTATGAGTACATTGTGGAATAATTAAATCAAGCTAATTAGCGTATCACCTCAAATAGTTATCATTTTGTGGTAAGTCAACATTTGAAATTTACTCTTAGCAAGTTTGAAATGTACATTATTATGATATTCACCATACTGTGCAATATGTCTCAAAACTATTCCTCTTGTCTAATTGAGGCTTTGTGCCCTTT